AGCACAAGAGCACCAGAAAATGCTCGGTAACTCACCATCTATTTTATTGACGGATGGCCTGGCATCACTTGTAAACCAGCGTATGGATATTGCACGGTCCCGTAAAACATTATTAGTTTGCCGCATCTGTAGCCAAAAACACAGCACTGTTAGTTCACTGACAACTCAACTCCATCATAAGGCCTCAATGTGGAAAAGGCATTGTTCCCTCAGTCTCTTCGGTAAATAATTGGTAGTGCAATAAACTTCTTAAATATAGCAGATAAATACATAAGTGAACTATTACAGGTCTAAATTATCCAAACAAAGTCATTTTTACAATTGGAACAAAATAAATACACGACAAGGAGAGGTTCGTTTTCAATAAACAGCTGCAAATCTGAAAGCATCATTACGAAATCACCAAAACCCATTAGACCACAAAAAACATATTCACATATCTACGTTCCCTTTCCCAAAAAATTAAAAAAAAAAAAAAAANNNAAAAAAAAAAAAAAAACACTCTCAAAAAAGGTGCAAATCTAATAACCACAACTAATCAAACATGCAATGACGTCTTAATGAATTAGAAATTCATGAAAGCTTGATACTAATTTCCCCTCAAGTCGATTAAAACGAAAGCAACTCGAGATATTAACCCCAGTTTATAACAAAACCTAGAAAGCCAAACGACATACAATATTTACTCCACCCATCGCGCTGCCGAAATCGTTTATATACATAAGAAATAAAAAAAGGCACAGTTCAATTCAACAAACCAGCGGTAAGATCCCAAAACAGACTGCGGAATATTTCTATAGAGCACTGCAACAGATTCCAAATTAAAATCAAATCGATTCATCATACAATCACAACAAACAAACACATAACACACACAAACAAACGTGAATTCATGTCCAGAAAAGACGAACAGTGACAAAAGTCATCAAAACGGAATCACCTTTCTAGAGTGATGTAAAAATCTGGCAGCGTGCGTCATGGCTGAGCCTGGTTTTTTGGCCGGAAAATCTGGATCGAATCGCAGCCCTTGTTATTGATTCGCAGGGTGAATTTGGAGTTTGGCTTTCGGTTTTGTAGCAGTCGAAAAAGGCAGGCGGGTTGAAGAAGGTGAATCAGGGTAGGATGTGTAAATATGTAAAATGTTAACTAAAACTAGTACAGAGCCCGTGCGATGCACGTGGTGCACAATTATAAGGTTATTTATCAAGCATTATAATTATATAAATGAATAAAAAAATGTACGGGACCGGTGCGAGACACGGGATATATTTATTTTGGGAATATTATATTATAATATGCAATATTCAATAAAAGTTTTATAGTACGCAGGAAAATTATACAATAAAATAGTATCTGACAAAAAAAATCATATATTATTAAAGACCTCATTGTACATAGATATTAAATAATTTATTAGTAAAATAGTGTATAAGTTGATTACAATAACAAAACAACATGCTCACGGAATTAGTAAAAATATTCCATAGATTGAAGATTTAATGGGATTAAACATTTAAATTAATTAACTTAGATAATTCAAAAGTCTTCCAACATGTTTTGACTTTAATATATTACAACACGTGTATACTTTAAATATATTAATATTTAAGAAACTTTAAACATCACACTTTTTAAAAAAATTAATTTAGGGAAATTTAAACAACATATTTACGTCACTCATAAAACAGATTATATTTCAACATCATAGTTATAGTATTATTTAAGGAACTTGAAACATCATTCTTAAATATTTACGTCCACCCATAAATTTTTTACAAGTCGAAGTTAATTAACCCCGTTTCTTTTTTATTTATTTGTTTGTTCAATTTTTTTGAAAAAAAATGATATCATGGATAAAAAAAATTAATAGTAAATAAATAATTAAATAATTAAAATAATATGCTTTAGACAGATATAGGATGCAGATAATCCTCTCATACCAACAACGCGATTTCAAAATTGACTCAGATCCAACAATCATATCCAATATTCATATAAATAACTATTAAATAAAATGCTTTAAACAGAAATTAGATAAAGAATTTTGAATCTGCTTTTTTTTAAGTAGAAATAGGTTTTACGTACATTTTTTGACTTCACCGATTATGGCATTTGTTTTGACTAAATCGATGTTATTATGGAATAAGACAAATAAATAAAGTCTTTTTTATTTTAGTAAAGATTTTACATACTTTTTTTTTTTACTTATCTAATGTTATGGGATTTTTTTTCTTAAGCCTATCTTTATTTTAGTAAATTTTTTAAAGAATAACTAATATAATTTTATTATCTAACCATCAATAAAATCATTTAATGTTGTGATCATTGTCTCTTAAATGATAAATAATATATTTTTTTAAAAAAATATTAGTTTTATATAATTAAATAAAGGTTAAAAAGTATTACTCGACAAATATTAATTATAATGGATATCAGTAAAGTCATTGCATAAATTATTTAAGAAATAAATATTTAAGGTCATATCTGGATTATAAATATAAATATGCAAGCATTTAATGCATATAGTAAAATATTTCCAAATAAGGTATGCATTAAATGTGTGTTGACTTTCTTGCTACTATTTTTGGTAAATAGGTTGGCTTTTAATATATATATATAATATAATAGATTAAGGGTTGTGTAAAATTAAATAAAATAAATATGAAAAATGCTCCTTTTAATCTTTAACTAGTATTCGATCATGTGCACATGCACAGATGCAAATACAAGTTTATATGTTATATGTATGTTATGTAATATTTAAAATCAAAAGTTAGATAATAGAATATCACATTTTATAAATTTTATCATTAGTAAAATGAACGATAAATAACTTACATATTAGTTTTTATATTGATTGTAGTTATATAAGTTTTGCAACACTTTTTTTGTATGAACAATTGATTAAATAAAATAATATTGAAATAATTATTATTATAGTATCAAAATTTTGAAAATTTTGCTTATATCATAAAAATTAAATAACTAATGTTGATAAAACACTTGCTTAATGAGTTAAAACAAAAAAAAAAAAAATCAAATAAATAGTTTAAAAAAAAATAAATTATAATTTCATTTAATGTGGCTTTATGTTTTGTTAGGAGTAATTGCTATATAATAAAATAATAAAAATAATTAAACACTTAATTAATGCAGAGTAACCTCTTTTAGAGGGAAAAATTTTGAGGTTTTATTAAATGCATATGAGCTAGTAATTATATATATATAGATAATAATGAGTAAGACCAAATTTTCAACCTATAAATTTACAATCACGTTTTTTAAAATAATAATAATACATACATCTAATCTAATGTAAAAAAAAATATATATATTATATGTTTTTTTTTTTTAATTGATAGGTGGATAGATGATGCTCGATTTCAAGGAAATTGTGAATGTGTGTGTATATATAAAAAAATTATATAATAATTTTAATTATTCCAAAACAATAAAGATTCACAACTAAAGCTCAATTATCCATCGAGTCCAGTGTACAAGACCAAATAAAGTTACATTCTACATCTAAGTGAAAATAGAAGAAGTAACTCGTCAAGCTTATATAATAGACTTGGAACCACCCAACAAACCTCCGCTCAACCTCAAGACCACATACTTGGGCATCCCCTTAAACGAAATTCATACGATCAAACCATCTTGTATTGTCGTTATCATACACGAAACACGTCGCCTGACCGTCCTTTTCGCTAGGAAACTTTCGACACAAGGCACAATGATCCATCGGTCCTCCACCGGACCCACTCAGATGATTCGACCATCTTGTACCGTCGTTATAATCCACGGACACGTTGGCTGATCACCCTTTCAACAGGAAGACTTTTGACACAAAGCACGCGGATCAATCGGTCCTCCACCGAGCCCACAATACAATTCGACCATCTTGTACTGCCGTCATCATCTAAGGAACGATGTTAATTGATCACCTTTTCAGCAGGAAGACTTTCGACACAAAGCACACAGATCCATCGGTCCTCCACCGAACCCTCATACGATTCGACCATCTTGTACTGCCGTTATCATCCACGGAACACGCTGTCTGACCACCCTTTCGCCAAGAAGACTTTCGACACAAGGCACAAGAATCCATCGGTCCTCCACCGGACCCACAGGGAACATGCCACGTCATTCGTGGCTCTAATACTAATTGTTAGGACAAAAAACTCAAGCCCAATTCTCCATCAAGCTCAACATACAAGACAAAATGGGGTTTCATTCTAAAACCAATTGACAATTGATTGAGTAGTCCATCAAGCTTGTATAATAAACTTAGAACCTTTAATTTTTCGATGTGGGATTGAGTTTGTTCACCCAACAGATGCAACCTTGTCATCAGACAATTGATTAGTTATAATTTTTCGAATAAAAAATATGTAATAATATTGTAATAGTATAGAATATCATAAACTATTTGTTTATGTTATTATTTTTAATGTATTATGTTTTAAGTGTAAATATTTTGATGAAAATATATAGTTGGATACAACAAAATTTTTAAAGTTATTATCATTGCCTACCCTTTAGAATAGAATATTGCCCTATATGGATGTGCAAAAAAAATCCTCTATCGTTTTGAGAAAAAAAAANAAAAAAAAAAAAAAATGTGCAAAAAAGGGACCAGGAACAAAAGCCAATATAAGATACGTGTATTTTCATGAACAAATAAATGAATAGCCTAGAACTTTGTGGTTCGGTAGTTGTTTGTATAAATAATTTGATTGTTGGACCTTAAAATAAGATTTTACTCGACTAACAACAATTATAAAATTATACTTATATGTACTGTATGGTGGAATATTGTTTGTTTGGTATAGTTAATTGCACGAGATTGACTATCACACAATGTAATTTTATAGTTGGATCATTATTTAAAATGTTTTATATATATAAATATATTATTTTTACATTTGCAATTTTGCATAAATATAGTATAATATACTCAAAATGGTCCATTGATGTATGTTTTTGGACTATATTAACTTTGTAAAACTTTTTTTGTGTTTACTAAAATTAGTACATCGCTGCATGAACTACGCAGTTATTTGAAAAAAAAAAAATGATTTGTTAGAAAAACTAAAAAAGAGATAAAATTTATATTTTTATTGTTAAATACAAAAATTATAAATAATTAATAAAAATAAAATAATTTAAAATGTTATTTCGAATTCTACAAAATATTTAGTACGAAATATTATCCGATCCATTAAAAAATCCTAATTTTTGTCAAATTTAAATAAAATATTTATTTTATTCAGGAGTTAAACATAACGTTCGTGAACAGGGACGTAGCCACATACAACGTGACTAGGGCTATAGCCCAGGCTAAAAAAATAATTAAGTACACTATAACTGTATATAAATTAAAAAATATTTTAATTAGCCCAATCTATGTTAAAATTTAACTTTAATTAACATTAATATATTATAAATTAATTTTCGTTAAAGACAAAGTGAATAGTCTTGTTGTGGTAATGTGGTGACTTTCACTTACACGCAATGCTTTCAAAGGGATTTAAAGTCGAATTTATACACTAGTATGAATGTGTATGTTAGAATATTAGTATTTGTTATTCGATTGTTAAACTTACGAGAGAGTAAGGTAAGATTAAATGTTCCATATTTGATACAATAGATAGCATTTTATTTTGAAATTTTCTTCGCACAGTGAATAATGAAATTTGATTGTATAAATGAGTATGAGATAAAATAATTAAAAATAAAAAAAATATTTTTTATTGTTTTAATGGTTGCTTTGATGTAAAATAATGTGATATAATATATTAAAAAAATATATGGATGGTTAATATATTTTGTTTGCACTACGAAGATATGTTATCTTTTTACCTAGTTTATGAAACAAAAAAAAAAAAA